ATCTAGACAAAAGAAAAAATGCTGTTATTTGACTATAGGTAAGGAAAGAAATTAAAACAAACTGTCGGTACAGGCATTTTCTAACAAGTTTTGTTTTTTTTTTTCTCCTAAAAATATATATATAACAATTCTGCACTGAAGAAGTTTTCTGTGCTTTCATAGTGACTTTAATCCATTCAGAAAAAAACAGCTGATTACAAGATTATTAAAGAAGGTTTGGTCATTGGCACAGGCTAATTTTCAGGCTTCAGTGAGGTACTAAATTATCCATAAGCCAAGAAATTAATGTAACAACTTTCTCCTGTCCGTCTTTGTATGATTTCAATAAAAAATCAGTCAGAGCCATATCCAGCACGTAATTTGGCCAAGCTCTGCAAGCTGAGTATTTTTCTGGTGCAGTTTCCTGTTGGCATTTAGGCTGTGGCTTCTGCCGGTAGCTTGTATGCTTTGGAAAGCAGGGAGCTGGCAGGCTGTAAACAAGTGGTAGGATGGATGTATTCGTACCTGCTTTGTGAGAGTATGGACTAGAGCAAAGTATAACACCAGGAAACTATAGGGTCACTTTTGGATGCTTTTGCTGTCAAAATTTAGCAGAAAAAAAACCCCAAATAGATAGAAACCTGCTGTTGGTGGTTGTTAAAGGGGGACATAATGAGCTGGGAGAGGTTACCTGCAGGGATGCTTAGGGCATTTGGCTTGCAGTCGGTTCTGGATGGGGACAAGGTGTGGGGACACTCTGGTGAAGCCTGCTGGGTCGGAGACTACATTAGTGCAGGGGAAAATGGTGCTATAATTGAGGAAGAACTGAAAGGCCTTAAGGGGGGAGAAATAAAAACAAAATATGACTATGTGAGCTTCCATATCAGGCTCATAGAGAGAGATTTTTTTTCTTTTTTTTTCTGAGATTGGAACTTATTAGTTGGATGAGATTGAGCTAGAGAAGCTGTGGGTGTATCGGCAGCTGCATACAAGTAATCATGCACAAGCAATATGATACTACCAGAGGGGGAAAAAAACCACAATGATATGATCTGATTTGGAGACTCTTCAAGGTGTTCAGGGTAGGGAAGTTTCAGGTGCCATGTGTTGCACTCTTCCGTGGTGCCACTTCATGTGTTCGTCTGATTCTCATCACAGCCCTTCAAGGCAGGGGAACTTGGTGAGGAGCCTTGTTGGGTCAGCGTGAAGCTCCCGTCTAAGCGGCGTCTGTATCCTGGTGTTTTGTTTTATCCTGAGCCAGGCGGCCTTTCTGCCACCAGGGATTCCTTGGACTGTTTTGCTAAGACGTTCTCTTTTCCTTCTTCTTAAGCCTTTGGTTTGGTGGTTAACCAAGTTGAAAACTTGGTCGCAAAAACTGACTGCTAGGTCAAAACAAGCAATTTTCCAAAATGTCTAAAACTCTCTTGCAAGAGGAGGAGGAATAAGTGGCATCCTACTTAGAGTAGTGTTTGGTTGTAATAGCAGCCTTTTCCAGCATCCCACCTGAAATAAATTGGTGTACTCTATCTGTCATTGGTCCATCTTCATATCAGGAGGACGTTGGGCCTATTAAATATTATTAAAAGAAGACAAGCTTTTTAAATGCCAAAATACGTGCAACAAGAGGCAGATTTAGTATCAAATGTCCTAATGCTCAACAGTTATTTTCTTAGTGATAACTTATTTTATGTGGCCTGAAAAATGTGGCATTCTCTTGCAGTTCAGCTATGAGCTCTGTGGTCAGGCAGGAGCAAACTCCAGGGTTACTCTGCATCTGTATCCCCAGATAGTCAGTTAACATCCAGTAGTCCAGGCTCCATGTCGTTAAAATGCACTACTCATGTAGAAAGAGTTTTTAGACCAAGCTGAGAATCCTGTTTGCCTGTGTTAATGAAATTTTCCATGAGCTCTTAGCTCTCTTCTGGTCATCTATCTGAGCTGCCTTGGGCAGTGAGGGCTAGATTGCATTTGGTGTGTGCATGGGGGGCAAGGTGAGAATATGAATAGGTCTTGCTCCCAGGTGAGTTTATTTTTCTCACCTTGAAGTCAGATATACTTAGATCTCCTGTGCCCAGCAACACCCTTCTACCAAGACTTAGCTCCTCTACCAGATATTTGGCTTTTATAGTTATCCTTGCCCAGTGCAGACCACACGGTGCACTGGACAAAGGCATCAAAATAGGCAGGAGATGCAGTGGAATGGAGAAAAGCGTGAGCACTCCTGAAATGTTCTCCTCCTCTGTTAAATCTCTAATGTGGACAACACCAGCATTCCCACATGTGGTTCTCCACTATAATAATATGATTTTTACCAGTTTTCTGTACAGCTGAATCTACTGAAACCACACATATTACACTTTCAAAACAAACCTATCAAGAAGCAAGAGATGTATCTCTGCTCATACCCTTCATTATATTTCCTGAGGTCTATATTTGTCAAAGACGATGCTGAAGAATATACCATGTGCCTCATGATGACATTGTACTCGTCTGTTTTAATATTTCATAATTATCAGGAGCTTCGCTATCTGAGATAAAGAAATAAAGAGACTGTGAGTCAGGCCAAGGTTCATGTTTCTCACACCCAGGTCTGCAGTTATTATGCAGTAATACTACAGCTATTTGGCTAATTAGCTGGCTGTTTATCTGCTTGACTCTCCCCAAAATAGAAAATGCTGTAAAATATTTCAGAAGGAAAATATTTTTCAGCTAAAGTGTCTCCCTGTGTAGCTAGAGTTGGAAACCTTTATCCCCTTTGGCTGCATATTGTAAGGAAACTAGAATTTCTGCTATGGAAACCCATGCAGAAAGCAGGATTCTCAGCTAGGTTATATTGGCATGAAGAAGGTCTGTGTACTCAGTGTCATCTAAAGTCCATGAGAAGTGGTTTTCCAAAAGCAAAAAAAAAAAAAAAAAAAAAAAAAAAAAATCCAAAAAATTGGAGATCTGTAGAAGCCCTAAGCTCCTTGCTTCCCATTCCTGTTTGTCAGGTGACAGCACCAGCCCTTCATTTTGCAGGAGTATGGTGGAATTGAATCCCTTTAGGGTTTTCCCTGTGCCAAAATGCCGTAGAGCTGAATGCTACAGGAAACCCCAGGAAGAAACAACTTCTCCCCTCTCTAGAACAGTGTGCTGTAAGTAAAGCCTGAGGCCAGTCAGTGAGCAGTGAGGGAAAGCTAAAATATTTGTTCATTAGCTGAGCTTCTCCGTCCTCATCACAAAGCAAGGCAAGGGATCCGTGGAAAAGTTTGCTGTGTGTAATTTGGAAACGTGCAGACGGTTGAACCCATGTGGTGCAGGCAGACTTGTTTCTGTTATTTCCTGGCATCTCACAGTTCGACTTTGCAGCATTGATAGTGTTGTAATAGCATTAATCATTAAATTGGATGGTTAATGTTAATGAAACCAGAAGGTCCCTCAAGGCAGCTTGCTGTACCTACTAAGCTGTTGTAAGCCACAGCAAAAAGGTGCGATGCAGCATTATCTATCATTTCCTTAACAGACTCTTATATTAATAATAGATATCTGATACATATATAACTATATTAACTGGCATCTGGTCAGGACTGATGAGACAGCCAGCCACTGCCATCCAAAATAAAGAAAAGCTGCATTTATTCTGGTATCAGGACAAGAGTTCTTCCTGTTATCGTATTTTTTGACATCTCTGACGTGATGCAGCCTTGAGGAGAGGGGGTGGCCTCTTGGGTCCGTCTGGCCACTGTCACCGCCAGACAACTATGTAAATAGAAACCCTTGGTGAATGAAGAGAGGCTGGGAGTTGGTGAAAGGGAGTTCATGGGTCGCTGCAGTGAGACAGCGAGGGCCGTTTGAACAACACAGTACCAGAATGTTCCCAGAGGAAACAGCTGTGACGTTTTCCTTTTGGTTACGCAGCTGCTCAGAGTTCGTGCTCGCTTGATCACTTGCGTAAAACTGGAGAAACCTCCCAGACTGTGGAGAGGAAAAGGCCAAGGAAGGGGAAGCTTTGCCCATGAAGCACTTGTTCTGCTGTCCAACTTGTGTTGGAGATGAAGGCAGCCTGGGAGGATGGCTGTGTCAACCTGTGGAGAATGGCTAGGCTCCGCTGGCTACAGCTGGAGCTTTAATGCCTAGATCACATAGTGATCATCCACCGTGTAGGCATCTAAATGTGCATGTCAGACTGTGGAGCTGAGCCTCGCTCTTAACCATTTGGTGAGATGAGCCCACCCACAGCGACTATGCACAAAACTCTTTGGTGTCTGGAGGTGAGAACATGCTAACTGGGAGCCAGGCACTTATTTTATGGAACAGTAAAACACTTCCCATGCAGCAGCAGCAGCTTTTCTGTTGGTTTAGTGCAGGCAGCAGCCAAGTGGGATAAGGTGGCTCTAACCTTTTTCCTTTCCAGTATTGACAATGTTCATAATCTTTCGTGATTTATGTGACAAGAGGTTTATCTCTCTATGATGCTATTGTACCACTAAATGGGCTTGGTATTCACATGGCCCATCCTGTGGGCCAAGAAAGCAATCGAGGCAGTGAACGACACCAGGCCCAGATGACCATTTTCTCCTGCATCTGTGCATGGCCTGGTTCAATCATTGTTGCCCAAAACAATTCTCTTTTTATGATACTGGATCACAGGAATCTACCTGGGGGACCTTATTATCTGGACTATTTGCATGCTGGCTTTCAATAAATGGAGGGGACAACTGGTGGCCTGGGTTATCAGAGAGCTTTAGGCTCATCCCCTGATTCTAATATGCTTATCTGTGCAGTATTTCACCATGGTGTGCCTTTGAGAGCAATACTGTGAGAGTTGTCTGCTTCCAATTACTAATCTTTCTGAGGTGGAGTGAGGAACTACAACACGGCGCTTTTCCTTTTTTAATGTCTCTGAGTTTTCTGGGATTAATGGTGATGCAGTGGGAAATTTTTGTCTTCTAAGATATTTCATTACGAGGATAATTCTTAGTAATCTGTCTTTTCTTCTGTCCCAGATCCATCATCTCATTGTCTGTTTTATTTTCTTATAGGAGGAGCTGGGCATTGCCTGTGAGTTGCTGGAGTCAGACTTCCTTAAGTGCAGCGTGGGATTTCCTTTCATGAGATCAAAATCTAGGGTAATGTCATATTTTCATTTGCAGAGTGATGGTGTTCCCTTCTCTGGCTCCAGGGAGTGGTTGGGAAAGCAATTGCTTTGTTAAGTGCTTGTGACTGATATTTTTTGTAGCTTCCAACCAAGATATTCAAGCCTTTCACAGTTATGGGAAGATACTTGTACTCTTTCCCACCAGACAGAGTCAATGACAGCACCCTATCAGCTGCAATAATACTACTGGAAGATGATACATGAGTTGTAGCTGCCAAACACTTGGATTTTCTCTGCCAAAAATTAGAAGAGGGCTCTCTCCGAGTTGTGTTGTCTTCTCTGTTTTTGTCTCTTCTCACGTAAAAGTGTGTCTGAATTCATGCAAATGAGAATGCAAATATTATAATGACTTTTTGTATTATGTCTCCTGGTAGCTTTCTAAAGAGGATTTTGTTCAGGTAGTTGAAGATAAGCTCATAATATTTCAAAGTGCAGCTGGGTTCTTTCTGTCACAGAACAGATCTGTATAAATCACTGATCTACCATGCAAAAAAAAATGAGAAGAGAAATATTTTCATCATAATCTGAACAAAATTGATTTGAAACTTTCCAGAACATATAAATTCTAAAAATTATTCCTTTCCATTTGGACTGAAATATGACCATGTCGCTTGACACATGACCACATTAAATGCTTTAAGTACTTTTGTCTGTGATATGCTCCTCTAAGTTTTTAGGTGGTAAAAATAAGTGCATTAGAAATTATTCTCTGGAATTGAAGAATCTCAGTGTTTTACTTCACAATGAAAGAGTTAGATTATCTTCATTTCTTTCATTTAACTGCTGAAATTTACATGAGTCACAGATAAGAAAAAAATGTGGAATATTTATATGCCACTATAATTGTCATTCAAGTAGATTTTCTTTTGAAAACTAGCATCTCATTTTGTCCATTTGATAAGGGCCCTGAAGGCTGCTATAGTTTGTGTGTTTGCAAGTCTCTGTGCGTGTTTATAACATGACTTTTATCCCCCCTGAAAGCTCTTCTTCACCAAGAAGCAATCTACGCATTGGTGCTGAGGTGGTGGGTCCACTTATACCAAAGGGATGCTCCACTGGCAGATCATCTGCTTAAAAAATACCTTGGAACAACAATTCTAATGAAGGCCTGTTCACAGCAAGGGAGCAGTCTGACTCTTTAGTACCCAAACAGACACCCAAATTCTGTGATTTAAAAGCTATTTTGTAGTAGAGGAAGTACTGCTTAAACATATTAAATAGCCTTAAACTATTGTATAGTCAAGCCATTAAAATATAATGTATATGTGAAGTTGCAGGATAAATGTATTTTCAAGTAATATATATTATCACTAAATGCCATTTTTTTTTTCTTTGTGCAGTATGAGTTCAGTGTGATCTTTGACACGAGTCACTTGTCTGGGCAGGAAGAGACACTTACTTTCCTTGTCACTGCCCAAAGGTAAGGGAACCTCTGCATGTCTTGGTGACTTGACGGCTCTTTGTTTCATGAAGGGTGTATTGTACATGTTTGACAATCCTAGACACGTATGTGTTTGTATAAAAAATGAGGGCAAACGTTTGGAGCTAAATGCTTTTATTTCGCTAATAGAGAGGAGCCATGTCTCTCTACCCCCTGCAGAAAGGGGTAGGATGGTGCTTGGTATTTTTCTGCTACGCAGTTGGGATTCTGAAAGAGCATTTTGTGCTCTCTCACTCAGAAGGTCCTTGTGTTTCTGCGCCCATCCCTTTGGGCCCTGTATCAAGCTCAGCTCAGCTGCACTTGACAATCAGCACCAGGCAGACCCATTTGTTCCAGCTTTTGAACAAAGTAAGTGTGCTTGGATGCAAACCAAAAAAAAAAAGGAAAAAAAAATGCATTCATCAGATGATCAGGGATCATCAGTGGCAGCTTCTGAAGTTGTGTATCCATTTTTCCCCCTGGGGATCTTTAGAAGAGTGTATGAAACAGCTGATGGAGCTACTTCCCAAAGGGTGGCACAAACTCTGTGAGAATAGGGTGCTGCCAGTCTTAACCAGTGGTGGTATGACGTGTGCACAGGGATTTGACCTGGAGCAAAACAAAAGGTATAACACACCCTGTGCCTCCTAAAATGATTAGCCATATTGAAGCAAATTCCTTGGGTGACTGCTACCATCTGTATTTGCGTGGGAATTGCAAGTAGCATGGTTTTAATAACCCTGCACTAAATCACTGCTCCAATGTGTTGGGTGTGTGACTGGGTGTTGAATATGTGACCGCTTTCCCTTTCTGTGCGAGTGGGCCACTTTCATACCCACCTGTGTCCAAATAAAGATCCCCAGTCTGAATTCTCCTCCCCAATTAGAAGTCCATGCAGGACAGCTGGGGATGAGAGATGGGGACTAGCAGTTGCTGAGTGTGAGTGTAATTTTTTCCCCTCCAGTAACAGGGGTGGGTGAGGAATAAGGTTCTCCAGCATATGGGGTGGGTATGAAATACTATAAATGAGACCTCGCAGCAGAAGGACAAGACTGGGTCTTATATATTAGAGATGTTTTATTCTCCATGAGTTCATCTTGTGCTCAGCTGACCTGTGATATTTCTAGGTCAGCGAGCTACTTCAAGAGCTGGAGTACAAATGCCAGCAGTAGCAAAGATAAGTCAGGAGCACTTTAAGTTGGCTTAGCTGGTGATTTCCAGACCATCCCTTTCATCTGCTTGCCCTGCACAGCACAAGGCTTTCCTCAGTAACCTCAGGGTGCTGAGCCCGATCTGTTGGGTTAGGCTGTGCCTTTAGGTGGAGTGAGGAAGACGACAGTGGTAGAGTGCAGAAGCTCAGAAGGGTTTGGATGAAGTTACTTGTTTCAAAAGGAAAATTTCTTATTTTCAAATAACTGGATGTGGAGAACTTCTTGATCATAGCACACGGTCACGGGAAAGTAAAAATTGCCCTTCAAGTGTCCACTTAACCTCTCACTTGTAACTACAAATTTGGCAGCAGCATCTGTAACAAGAGACTGATTCTGTTCTAGGTGAAAGTGATCAGGGGATGAAACATTGCATTTATTCTTTTTGCTTCTAAAAAAAGGTACAACAAGTCGTTTGCTTACTTAGTGGAGTGAAAAAACTTTCTAGATCTACCATCCAGCTGTATTCTCCCTTTCTGTTCTTTTGAAACAGATCAGCATGCACAGAGCAGAGATCTTGCGAGATTCTGCTTACTTGTTTCACTTGGTCCCATGGTAATTTGATATTTGCATTGGATGATAAATAACTACCTTTTGGACCCTCTTTTGAGCTTTTATTTAATGTTTTTGCCTAACTTGATTAGTGGGTTTTTCTTTCTGGGCCATGGCATTTCTTATTAGCAATCATAACCAGTGATCATTGCAGAAAGCTGAGCTGTAAGTATGTGGCCAGCAGGTTCTGTTTTCATAATCTGATTGACAGCTGTCATCATCTGCGAGGTATCATCCGGGATGTTCTGCAGAATCACATACTGTCTGCTGTAGTCTCAATAGGTCTGTCCTAAAATAAATAGGTTCACCTCTTTAGTTTTGCCAGGCAGATAGATTTGTGAGCAAATTTTATGAAATGCAAAGCAGAAGCGATTGCTGATTCATTACAGAAGAAATTGGAACTGTATGTGACAAATATTTTTCAAGATTGTTTTTCTGCACACACCAAACAGACTTACGGTGGAATTAAAATATTTGCAAGTTTGCCTGCTAGACATGCATTGCGGGAATCCTTTGCAGAGTCAGTAGTAAAGAAATTACCACTGAAATGTACTCTCTCAAAAAAGAGATTATCGCTAGTTTTTCTCCTTGCTTCTGCACTTTGACTGTGTGGTGCGCCAATGCTTGAAACTTAAAATAAAAATGGATGGGTAAAAAAAAAGAAAACTGACTAAATACTTGTATTTAGGAAATGGAATGATTGAATGCTTTGGGCCAGTTCAGTGCGAGAGTCTAAGCCACAAAGCTGCTCACAGTGGTGCTGCTTTACGATGCTCACAGGCGTGCTGCTTTACTGTGAAGCTACAAAGAAAGCACGGTTTCATTTATTGAAGGAAGAGTTTCCGTGAGATCCCTCACAAACTGATGGAAAGTCTGTCTGGGAAAAAACCAGACCCTCGTGTGGAGTGCAAATGTCCTTGTTTCTGCTCACTGAGTGCAACGCTTGCTGCAGCTTTGCCCTTCCGTTTGACTTTGCGCATCACCTTGCTCAAAGATTTTTTCACTGTGTGCCTGATCATTTCACAGCCACAGGAAAGAGCCAAGCAGAACAAGCTTTATGTGTGCGCCCTCTCCAAAGTGCGATAAACACATGTAACTCTTAATCTCTAAGAGGCTTCTTAAGGAGCGACGACATCGCTGAGAGGCTCAGAGGAAGAGGCAGAGAGATGGTAGCTGGGTAACTGTGTGATTTGTTGCAAAGGCTGTGGGTTTACAGCACGTTTCTCTTTCTTTCCTGATGCAGTGGCAACCTGGAACGCGCTGAGTCTCTACATGATAATACTCTCACCCTGTCAGTACCTTTGATGCATGAGGTAGACTCATCTGTCAATGGGTAAGTACCAGTCATCAGATGAAAACAACAAAAATAATAATAATCCTAACAATAACATGTGAGTCTGTGGAAAATTGCATTCTTCTCTCTGTTTGGATGTAGCCAGAATGTTGATTTTTCCTTGTTTCCCAGACCCTGAAAATAAAGACAACCTCATTTGTTATCTGGGAATTTTATTTATCATTCCTTTCATTCCACCACTGTACCTCTTTCTTGCACCATTTTAAGTAGTACTAATTAGCTGCCATGGAATTTATAAGAGGTATTTTAGGAATTTTATTTGAATTCAAGTGAATTGTATGGATATGATGGACCTTACAATAAAATGAGAGAAAGTAAATCACATCTTGTTCCTTGGGACATGTCTGAAGGATGTGGTTGAGAATTGCCAGGCCAAAGGTTAGGGTCAGATGTTCTGGGATTTTAAGGAGCCGGGGGAGGTCTCGCTGTTTGTCGTTCTGTTTAATTTCACAATCAGAAGTTGCCTCTGTTCCCTTTCCCACTGCCTCTGTTCCCTAGTCTGCACGGCGTCTGATAACAGCAGAGAGGCCCCACTTGTTCTTTTGACTGAGATACTTGTATAACGTTTAGTGCTGTCCTCTGCCGGGGCTGAAGCGGGACAAGATTCTGGTTTTGTCCTAGGGGGTCCTGCCTTCCCCTTTCAGCATTACCGATTTAGGCGTAGGATCCAAACTTTGAGTTTCAGCCTCAAGAGTTGCATTATCCTTGAGCACAGGCAACGTTGAGTTGGAATTCGGTCACCTGGTCACAAGAGGTGATTTAGCATCCACATAGACTGAGAAGCTTGACACTTTTATACTGGGGAAGTAAAAGCTTGGGAACTGGGAAGCAAAGTCCCGAACGGGTCCGTGTCTGTTTTAGCTGCCATTTACTGCAAGCCCCAGAGAGTATGTATTGACTAAATGACCAAAGCACCGTGCTGTGTATGTGGGAAAGAAGGTACTTGCACTGACATATGGTTTGGCTGAAATACTGAATAAACTCAGACTGAGTTTGATCACATAAGGCTGAATTTGCCTCTCCTTGCATAGGAGCAAAATCCCTTAGTTACTGCTACAGTAGTCAGAGTGGGTGGAAGATGAGCTTGAACCCGCCCAGAGAAGTGAAGAGCACTCTCAGACCTCACAAGATGACTAGCAGGAGCACACAGCTCCTCCATGTTGAGAATACAGTCTCAACATTGTATTTCAAATGTTTTTGAATGTTTTTATAGTTGTGGATTCAACAGCAATTAAAATCACTCTATCCTTTGTTTCTGGATGCCGTGAGAGCTTTACAGATATAAAAGCTTTGGTCTGTGTCTTTAGATCTTTGTCACCTGCAGAATATTGCCTGCCAAAAGCCTGATACACCTTACTTTCCCTGCAGAATGTTCGTTTTTCAAAGCAAGGGCCCACTGAGTTTGTTCACTGCATTGAACTGACTCTGAGGATTCTTTTCTTCTTTGACATAACCTTAAGCTTAGCTCACGTAGTGCAAGAATGTGTGATTACCAGGAGTAAGGTAATCCAAGGTGGCTTGCTGGGGGGAAAATGTTCCTAGCATTGGAAATATTAGTAATATTTTTTCAGACAGTATACATCATTTTTATTAGTTATAGTTTAATTAATTAGTTTTATTAGTTATTCTGTATCAGAATCTACAAGAGAGAGAACCTTACCCCGGTCATAAGTAGCCCCAAAAGTAGCCCTGTATTCTCCTTGGGATGAGCCTTCTGGCACAATGTTGTAGACAGGAATAGCAAATCTGTGTAGGGCAGACCCTGGCATAGGAGGCAGGCTGGGAGGAAGAAGATGTACCAAGACAGGCTCAAAATCCAGGCTTAAAAATCAGTGATCTCTGGGATCTGTAACCCCATGCTGGGAAGAAAGCATGGGGTTAGATAGGCACTCCCCACAGTCTGTCTGAAACGCCATCAACCTGGCGTTTGGAGAGTGGAGAACCCTGTCCAGCCAGTGGAACAGCCCTGTGATTAGATGGAGGCAAAAAGGATGATAAAAACATTTCTGACTTTCTTCCATGGGTTTTTTAAGTTCTCTATTGTGCCTCCAAGTCTTCCCTGATTAAACCACAGTGTGTTTGGTGCTGTAATAAGAGAAGAGCAGTTGAAAAGCCTTGGCCACCATAGCTCAAAGCGAGTCATACCCTCCTCTGGGCTTTCCTTCCTCCATGTGGTAATAGTTGAGGTTGCGAAGGGCAGATCATTAATGAAGTGCTTATTCATGAAATGTTCTGTGAAACAGCAGTTAAAGTTGAAATGTTATTTACAGGATTATGTAACTGAAACAATTCCTATCACTAACTGATTTCTCAGATTAATTTAGTAGCATAGCGATCTCCAGTGCGACACAAGCTCTAGGACTTGCACAAATCACGCATGGCAGAGAGCCATGGACAGGAGGTTTTGTGATCAGGCTGGAGAAACACAGAGGTGTAATCAGAGAAATCTGCTTTGCTGGCAGCTTGCTAAGCCTGATCAGTTGAGATGCTACTGCTGTTAAGAGGAAATGAAATCACAAATACTGGCTTAAAATATTAAAGTATTAAATGGTTCTACAGAATTCTCCGTGGTTGAAATACGAGAGGTGTGATGCATTTAGCCACAGATATATTTCGTAAGTTGTGCTTGTCACCAAGACTAAATCAGTGTCTTGATCTTTCAGAGAGGTCTTCCCTACTTCTTTTTTCTACGGGGACTCTGTGGAAACATCCAACTTCGTTCATTTGGAAAACCACGAATGTCTTTTCCAGTCTCTTAACTTCACGCTGCAGGTAAAGTTGATCCCTTCCCGATTGCTTTCTGATTTTGTATTGTTTTTATTTTGGGGGTGGCATGGGCTCTGGGGCATGTTTCCACGTCTGTACAGTATGCTACACAAGGTGTGCTTGGTTGGATATCATAGGTATGGTGGACAGTGGTGGCATGTTTCCTTGTCAGAATGCATCATTGCAAGAGCTACAAGCAGGATGCCTCAATTCCTTAGGAATTAACTGCTCCCACTTGTTTCCATTTTACTTTTCATCATGTGTGAGGGAAGAGCACTAGTTATTAAAGTGCCGCATCATGGATGTAGTACAAGGTTCCAAGTGGAGCATCCAGCAAAGAGGAGGTGAGGCTTCATCCATCAGAAGGGTTAATTAGATGCCTCTCGGTGAATATTATATATAGATTATGCTTTCCATGGCTGTTAAGTGGATTCCTGAGAGTGCCAAATGTATGGAATATGTACTTTAACAAGCTCTTGTGGTGGGACCAAAAGGAGCAAGTTTCACAGCCCACACCATATATGCTACAAGCACTTCAAATCCTTTTTGACCACTAGATGGAACCAGGGAATGATAAATCATGCAAAGGTGGGGGAATCATTTATTATGGAAAATAGCCTTTCCTCCTTTTTTCCCCTTTCTTTCTCCTAGGTGTGAGTGCCACTCAGCACATAATGAATAACATGTGTCCACTGCTTGGACAGACTGTGGCCTAGGGCGGTTAAGCCCCCACTGTCATGTGGTGCCCTTAGCTCTTTACTGAGAAAGAGTGAAAGCAGGATTTCACACAAAGGATAAACCTTTGTGAAGGAGGCTATTAATTCTGGTGATTCTCATTTCATTCTTGGGGATTTATAGGTCTTTTTCTTTTATTTTTTTTCCCATAAACAGTTATTGATTAGAAATAGATAAAGACCATATGTACTGATGGCTTGACTAGATTATTTTCAATAAAGCAAAGTGATAACGGATGAGGAAGAGAGGATATATTGGCAGAGCCACCACTTGTCCTCCTCCTTCTGTGTGTCATGAAAATATTTGTAGATTATAGTATTTTAAAAAATGTATTTTTTTACATATTTACATATTTACATATAGAAATAGAAAATAGCACTATAACAAGTCACAGATCTGTTCCTTGGTAAAGCAGTTAACCTTATAACTGTGCGTGTCAGAAAGTAGGGAGTTTGAAAATGGTCAAAGAATGGTTTGTATCACTGTTTACTTAATTGTTTTTAATGATTTGCCTGCCATTTGTTAAACTTTTCCATATGGAGAAAAATTGTAGTTTCTTAAGCAAAAACAAAAGATGGTTTACAAAAAACCACAGAGCTTTATTGAAATTTTTATATGTGAAAATCTACACTATGTCAGATGTTAATAGAGATCTGTGCATTGATTTTGTTGGGAACTAAGATGTACAATCAAAATGTCTCTTCTGCGTTAACTCTTACATCTGATTGCAATGAGATGATCCAGTGTTTTTTTAAATGTGAACTTGATGCATTATGTTTGTATTTCATGCAGCATTTATCATGCTCCATTGTAGTGGGATTTCTCCCCCTGCCTGGAGCCTCAGGGTTTCTGTAAGGATTTGGCTTCATGCACTGATCCTCTTTATCAGTCAGGCATTTCTTCAAATTTAAACAGTGTCAGAGGAATGAAAACCTGTTGTTGTTGTATGCACATATTTGTACTTTACATGATTGGCAACTGATTGCTGCATCTTTAGAGAGCATAGGATTAGTGCAGATAAATATTCTAAAATGCTGAATGCTTTTACTGTGTGTAGTTATGTTTGTGGCATTAGAAATAGCCAGGAGATCTATTTTCATTGAAAATTTTCCTTGGATTTTATTTTTTGAACAAAACCCCAGAAATTTTGGAGTTTTCACTGGATCCTTTTCAGAGGTGGAAATATTTTGATTTATTGTGGCAAGGTTGTGGGGAAGTTAGTGAAGGCTTTTCTTCCCACCATTTTCTTAATTTTAAATAAACCCCCTTATTTCAAAGTTGTCTACATAGACTTCCTGGCAATTCAGTCAGAAAACACACAGTCCAATAGTCACAGTTGTCATTACCTTGACTTCTGCCCCCATAAGAAAATCATTTGCAGAATATAGTGCCATGGTTACCAGATGGAAAAGGGAATGTTGATAGATACATTTTCTACAACCTTCTGGATTTTGCTACTAAAGCACGCAAAGCAGCTTTAGCAATGTTGCTCTGTATGTAGAGCAATAGTACCATGTTATTTATTATTGATAACTAGTAATTATCCTGCAAAACGACTCTCACTTGATACATGAGCTGTGATTAAAGACTGTCAGGTAAGTGAAACCTTTGACTGTCCTGATGCTTACAGAAGTAGTCTTTGTCAGGGGAGACTGAAAGACTTCTGTCTAGCTTAGAGACTTAGAGACTTAAGACTTAGTCTCAAGACTAGCTTGAGTCTTTTTGCAAACTTACCCATCCTCCCAAGTCTAGTCCTACCGTAGCTTCTCATTTATAAATAGTGGTAAGTAGGCACTCATCTATATGTATGTTCACTCTTGAAGGTCTACAATGCTGGACCAAGCACTCTTCCTGGAGCTTATCTTGACATTTCATTTCCAAACCGCCTGTCCGCCACCGGAGCCGAAATATTTCACGTTCAGCAGATGATGGTGAGTACTTTTCGGTGTGTGCTGAGCAAAGAGAGGCACTGAGAGATATTGAAGAATGGATTGATGAGTATCCAATAGAACTGGATGAATCGGCTGTTTTTTTCAGATAATACCTGTACCCGTGGACAGATAAGTAACTGTGTCAAATGGTGTAAAAAATGCAAATTAGGGCCCTGCCAGCTGTTAATTGCCATCCCTTACCAAGGACCAATGGCCTTGGTAATTGTGTGTGTGCCTGCTGTGTCACAGTGCAGCGTAAGTGTGGGTTAGTCTAATCCTGAAGGAAATGTGGGTAATTCCCAGAATCACACCTCCAAAGAGGATTCAGGCCACCCTGATTAAGTAGTAGATGTAGTATGAGGAGAACATGTTACCAAGCTGACTCACATCTTTTTTTTTTATATAGTCATTTGCAAAATGCTATCTAGATCTGAATGCAACATCAGTATGTATTATTCTGTAAATTCTAGTCCGTACTACATTTTCCTCTTTCTGACTGTTCTTTTAATATTTTTTTTCTTTCAACATAGCATTTTTCAAAAGATGGTGTATGTCAACTACAAAGAAAGCCAAAATATGTTGTGGTAAAAGAGATACATTCTTAGATTCCATCTCTAATATTTATTTATTATTTTCAAAGCTTCTGTTTAACCACTGAAATATCATCATTTATACTGTGGTGGGCAGTAGAAGGAAAACCTCACTATTGAGGTAATTTATCCTTGAAATTCAGTGCTCTGTTTTCTGTGAGAAGGAACCAGCTCCTTCCATCAGCTCAAGAACTCAAAAAGAGCTTGAGAAGAAGCATGACACTTCCTTCATGGCTACTTTTCTAGGAATTTGGCTGAAGAGTATTACCACCCTCAGTATGCAGGTTGTCACTCAATCCATACAAATGGATTCAATACATCTGAACTACAGATTCAATAAGACCTTCCTAAGCAGGTATCTTGCCCTGTGCCATGCCAAGCTACTGGCAGATAAAAGAGCTAGCTATATATGACTTGACAGGGATACTAAAGAGAATTGCCAAGAAATGGATTTGGGATAACCAACATTGTATGAGGCACCAGCATTGCATAGATGGAGTCCATTCTTCAGCTGGACTGAATTAAGTCTCCAGCCTGTGCATTATTTTCCCATGGCAATGCTTTTAATTTTTTCAGTGCAGTCTTCTGTGCAGCAGATAACCTCTGTGACATCTCTGAAGGCAGAGGTGATGAGATCCTTTCAGGCATTGCTTGATTCTGTGCATTGTCTATTCCAGAAGCGTTGGCAAAATGTTATGGAAAAGCCACCTGTTTTGCATGCTTTGATCACTTGAGATGCATATGACCCATGAAGAGTACAAGTGCTGATTTCCAGGCAGTTCCTTGTTCTTCCACTCCCAAGACCCTGATTTCCCCTGCTAAGGCTTGACTTGGGCTCTGTTGTTCTGAATATCTGATAGCAAAACAAAGCAAAAAGCTTAAACATTGGGCTTAGCTTTAAAAGGACTGTATGTTTTTCATTACCATTACTTTGGGGGGCTTAACTAGAGGAGGTCCAGCTGGGCACCATGGCTTCAAGCACCATGCTAGAAACACGTGTAGGTTCAAGCTCTGCAACCTTTCTGACCAACTAGTTATGTTTCTTCAAGTGCAACTTGAATCTTTCTTCTGCTTCGCAGTTTGTAGAAATTTCAGGCTCCCGTTGTGAAGCCTGTTTGCACTGAAGGCCCCATCCTGAAGAGTGGCATCAGGCAGGCATGATATCTTCAGGATACACTAGTGTTGACTGGTGTTTTGGAGTCAAAGTCCTATAGGGTTTTCATACAGGGCTTTCAGAGCACCTCTGACTCAGTAATGAATTTGAGCCAAGCAGACCCTGCCAGGTATAGTGATGTTAGCCCTGCTTTACAGATAATGAAATGAAAGACTTAAAGGCTGAATGATTTGCCTGAGATCACACAGGAAATTTGCGTCAGAGCCAGGCAGTGAAGCCGTGTCTCCGCAGGCTTAGTGTTTTAACAGGAAAAGCATCCTGCTCTCTTTCATCCTGCTTCTCTCCCACAGAGTTTTTATCGACTGAAAAGGGAACTAAAATCGTGGAACTTTTCAAGGCATCTTTTCTCAGACAAAATAGACTTAAAAAAAAAAAAAAATCCAGAAGCAGCAAATTGGAATGAACTTTGGAAAATGAGTTAGAACAGCTGTTTTTCCAAAGGGTTTTTGTAAGTGTATTCATTAAAGGTTTTTGAGCTTTTGCTTATTCTGAGCTTCCCAGAGTCTAGACTTCAGTACAGAGTGATAGCATCCCTTCAGACAATGCCACTTTTTCTGAAATTATACCTTTCTCTCGCTTTTGTAGGTGTCAGTACTGCCAGACTTTTCAGAATAGCTGTCAGAAGATTCATGGTACAGAGAGGATTAGTAATTGACACTTGCAACTCATGCTGCTGACATGGCATTTGAGAGTTGAGGCCATCGTCCTCTCCTATGAAAAGTCAAAAAAGCTTTTGTTGCTTCTCTGATGTACAGTACAGCAGTGACATTTAGGAGTGAAAACATGCATAAAACCCACAGGAGTGTGTGTCTCAAATATACGCATAGCACATTAAATTGTGCCGGGAGCTAATTCCTTCATATTGTGTTGACTTTTATAGTCTTCCCTTCAGTCACAAAAAATAATAAGAGTCACATATGGCCGCCTGGAACTGTCTGTATCTCTGGGAGGTGTTAATGGGAATTATCTTGCTGCTTTTGTAGGAAATGACAGCTCTCACGCTTCTGCTGTTCCTGTTGCTCAAAGCGTTTGGCTATATTGCAGAAACTGCTTTAAGATTTTCTTGTAGAGCTGTTCAGGTCACAGAGACATTTTGGTGTTTGGAAGTTTGTTTTAGAGATGCTCCCATATTTTGGGAGTTTATGCAGCATTTCTCCCAATGAATCCCGTAATGAGTAAAAGAAATGGATCAACAGTAAAAAAAACAGAAAAGAAAATAAAAATATATATATAATTGAATGAAAAAAATGGACTTTCTCTTTAGTAGAAGTTTTAGAAGGAAATGCTAAAAGTTTTACAAGTGATTATAACTGTGGAATTTCACTGTTGATGTTGACTTTTACACAGGATATACTCAAGGTCTGCAGTGGTCATACCATTTAGAAGCATAAGGTAGAAAAGTCAAATTAATACTTGCTTGTATTACACAGTTTTGTATTTTCTTTCCTGCAGAGGCTTAAAGCCAAGTTAAAACAAAATTAATGCAATACTTCAGATAATAGGTGAAAGTGCTGTGGCAGGCAAAGCATGAATGAGTACACAGAAAGGCATAATAACATATACAATAGGAATAATTTTAACAGAAATATATATTTTTTTCTCTTGAGGACATTGATTATCTGTTTTTCAACAGGGGAAAGTACTGCTCCTTAAACTTGTGCATAATTTGGATTTTAACCAAGCATAAGACTTGGTTTTCAGCTGAAAGACTAGTAATTTCCTTTGAATAACAAGCTAATTTGGAGGGCGAGGGAAACATAACTTTGACTTGCCAAAGAAACCGCTTTCTGGGGCATCCAAGAAGAGTTTCACAGCAGTAGTTTGTACCAAATTAACCAGGGTATTTGTGTTTCCTGAAGCTGTTGATAAATTAGCAGTGACTCCTGGATTCCTCCAATGATGGTATTACAGCTGTGGATCAGATTGTTCCCTTCCTATTTATTTTTATTTTCAGCAAAGGTAAACACAGTTGTGAGGAGCAAGAGACTAACAGTTGGGAACTGGGTTTGTCTGTTTGAACTGGAAGCCAAATGTAGTGCAGGCGGCTAAACCTGATCCCGGTCTTGGAGGGACGATGCTCCACGGAGCTGCCAAGCTCTTGGGAGCCCAGTGAGACCATTGTCACCAGCATCAAAGCACCATGGTGGTAATGCAGAGCAAGTGCTGCGTGTGCGTGTGGAAGCTGCAAGTATCATGCAGGCCAACAAGCATTTATTTTTAAGAGCCTGTTTAGGTGACTCGCTTGCAGATGTTCTCCACCTGTCACGTTGTGCTCCATGTAGACGCTCTGCACCTCTGGTTCTTCTCTCTGGGCAGATGAGATCTGGAGTGCACATCTGTAACACCTGGTTATCAATAAGGTTTCAGAAACAATGAAAAGCTGTATTGAAAATAAATGAACCACGTGGAGGGAACTGGAAAGAATTCCTTTTCCAAGCTGCCTTTGAAGTTGAGGGCTACCTTAGCATGGGACCTTTGAATGGCTTGTCATGTTTAATAAGGAAAAGTGTTGGAATAAACATTATTTTCTTCCTACGAATGTTAAAACAGAAAAAGTAAAATGGAGCCAATTCCAGAGCCGCAAGTCTTTCCTGGCTGATGACAGGTTATGTTTTTAAGGCTGGTTTTGTATAGCTCTCATGTCATTTTTCTTCCTGGCATTTGCACAGTAGTATCTGCAAGGAGCAGAAAGACTTTAAGGCGCAGAGTTAAAGCTTGCAACCTTGATCCACAGAAGGTTCCAAACTGGTGGAGATTTTTTCTTATTCACTTACCCGAGGAAAAGTAATTTTTGCAATTTTAAAATCTTAGATTTAATTCCTGCTTACTATCTGCAGGTTGAAAATGAATGTTTGGGCAACCCTTCTGCTGATATAAAAGCTTTAAGCAAAGGGAGGCCATTGGAGCTCTCGAAAGTGCTGCTAGTACAGGAGTGCTCCAGAGTTTGCAGTGGGGTGGTTGGGCTGCTGCTGCACACTCCACCTGTGGGACAAGCTTAGGGATCGTCACTCTCTAGTTGAGAGTGGTCCCTTGTGGTTGGCAGCCAGTCTAAAATTGTTTAGTTTCTGTCGTTCTGAAGTTGCAGGTCTTGGCTCAGAAAACCTATATACACAGTTCCAGCATGTGAAGATAAAAATATTTGCCGATAGCACTTTATGTAACACACTGTTGTTCCCACAGCTGCTTCTACTGCTGCTGCTTTGCCACCACTGCTACGAGGCTTGTGTAAGAAAATG